TGTAACGCAGACTCCGGCGGAATCCAGATAATAGGTTCTGACAGTGATTTTTTTTTTTGAAGTTGTTTCTCTAGCCAAGGTTTGTTGTTGTTTAATTGGTTTGGTTTTGTTCTTGTATGGTGGTTCTTCTGGCACCACCACACATTGCCGTGGCATCTCGTTTAAAAGGTTTCCTTCAATTATGAGACTTTGTAATTACTCGAAATAGGAGTAAACAAGGGAATTGCGATCGTTTAAAACACAGCTTTAACTACCAAGCTTAATGTGGAACCATACAATCGGCATTTTGAGATTAAGTCCGTGTAGGCGAGCGATTGCTTTAATTTAGCGAACATTCACTGAACTGAATTTATTCACTGACTGAATTTACTGAATGAATGAATTACTGCTACACTTTGAATGCATTTCAAATAGTTGTAGTTTGGATTAGAAATTATTTTTCTGAAACTGAATAACCCAGGCAGCCAGCAGACAGAAGGCCCCAGCGGGCACCTGGCAGCCTCAGGAGAACTGGAGAGGGTGGAGAGGGTGGAGAGCGAGGGAGATTTTTACATGGCCGAGGCGCAGGACCAAGCCCTCGGTGAAAACTGAATTGCAGTTCCCATACCGCACTTCCTCTTAGGGAGGGAGGGCTGGGTCTCAGATGAGGAAAGCGGAATGACTCATCTACAAAAAAAGGCCACTGAAATTTGCTAATGGCAAGCCCTGAACGGTACCTGGCAAACAGCAGGCACTTAATACTTGCCTTATAGACAGGCAAAATAAAATGCAATAACCTCCGTCATATATGGGGGTTGAGTGTGGAATGTTCCAGTCAGGGCGTAGGGGCAAAAGAGCAATTCTATGTCTCGTAGTGATAAAATCCCTTTTGTTGCTTTCTCTAACTCTGAATGCTCAAGAGCCTGCGCACCAAAAACTGAAGGACCATGGGAAGGACAGATAAGACAGTTATTGTTAATTATAGCAGTAATTAATTAAGAGTCGGCCTGAAGAAAATATCTCTAATCTTCAAAATAACCTCGTGAGGTAGATTGCATTATCATTAATGTATAGAAGACAGAACAGGTGGGAACGGAGATGGGCAAGGTGGCTTGGGCATCTGGACTTAATGGCGGGCCCCAGTGGGGAATACCCAGAAGTACAAGACACAGTCATTGCCATGCTGAAGGAATGTGTAGTCCGGAAGGGGAGCAGGGATGCACAGACATAGAATGAAAACAGCAAGGACACACCGTGGGCTGGGCATCAGACCACTGGAGAAGAACCGAGAGCTGCAAAAGTGTGCTGGACTATGAGCAGAACAGGTGCTTAATACATGTTTGTGGAAGTGCACTGAACTTAATTAAGAGCCAGGTAAAGGTAATCTTAGAAGGAAAGACATGGAATCCATACTGAAATGCAAAGCAGTGGGAAGACAAGGCTTACTGAGCAGTGGGTGTTGAAGAAAAATGGTTAGAGAGTCAGAGTGGGTCTAATTATGAAGCGAAGCAGAAGAGTCAGGACTACTGGAGACTCTTAAACAGAGGAGACGCATGAGGAAAGTTGGGATTTAGGACAATTAAGCCGGCGGGACTTTATCAGATGGTTCTCAATGGGACGGAGCTAGAGTTAGGGACCCCAGGAAGATCCTAGGGCAGGGATTTAAGTTAAAAACAATGCAGGCTAGAATAGATGGTGACAATAGGAGGGAAGAAAAGAGTTAAATTCTAAGCAATGCCTGGAAGAAAAAAAGATGTATCTTCATAAGAGATGGTATATACAACATTAGGGAGAGAAAGGTGTCCAAAATTGTCACCAAGGTTTCTAACCCTATAGTGGGACATAAGAACAGAACCAGAGACAGATGTGAGGGAGTTGGAGGATGGGGAGGAAGAAACATGGAGTTTGGTGTGATTCCCATATTGTTAGAAGGATTTGGGGTGGGTCTCATAAATGGTCAGAATTCCAGGCATGGATTGCCCCAAGGATTATAGGCTAGGGATTGTGAGTACATACTACTTGGACATGGCTATTGAGGACATGTGTCTGTCTTCTAATTGGTTCCTGGAGAAAGGTCAATAACAAATTCATTATTCCCCTCGATTATCTCACCAATTCCTTATTTTCCTCCACTCCCTCTTCCCCCATTTCCTCAGTCCCCAGTTGCTACACAGTCAAAGCAATGCCATGAGTGATATATGTCTTGGATGATTTCCAGCTCTGCAGGACACAAACCTAATGCAGGAGATTTCTCTATCCTCAGGATCGGCAAGGAACCAGGCCAAATGCTCCATAGTGGAGAGAACCATTAGAGCTGGAGGGGTCTTAGACACCCGACTCCTTGGTTCATAGGCAATGAGACCAAGGCCAGGAGATGAGACTTGACATCTCCAAGATTACACAGCCTCCATGTAACAGCAGAGACCAATTCTGAATTTTTACAGAACCTTTTGTTATTGCCATTATATTATGCCTCATCTCTGACTGGCAATATTTAAAGTACTATTCAATTAGACTAATATTTATTGGATACAAAATACATCAGCCCCTACGCTAGGCACAGGGGATACCAAGAAGGGTAAATATAGCAGTCATTGCCACCGAGGCACTTACAGTCCCGAAAAACTGTTTTGATAATAGGAGTAGTTACTTCTCCTTGGGTAGGGGTGTTGGGGAAGGCTTACTGAAGGAAATTATGCCTTGGGAAGGTTTTAAAGGATGAATAGGAGCTTGCCTGGCAGAAGATAGAAAAAGAAGGTAAATGCATTCTAAGCAAAGGGACCCTCATATATCAAAGTAAAGCGACAACACAGTATAGTGCTTGGAGTTACTGTAAGGGCTCAGTAGTTCTATGGTATTGAGGGTAGAGGAGAGGCAGGCAAAGCGCTGCTAGGAATATCAAAATATTAAAGGGGGGGGTAGGGGGGTGGGTAACATGAAGAAGATATCCAGAAGTTCCCTGAGTGATGTTCTATAGAGGTATTGTCACAATCAGAGATAGATGTGCTTCTACAGAGAAAAGTCAGTAAACTTTTTAAAAAGGCCAGACAGCAATCCTTTTAGGTTTGTGGGCCATATGGTCTCTGTGAATATTCAACTCTGCCTTTTAAGCACGAAAGCAGCCGCGGACAATACATAAACAAATGCATGTGGCTGGGTTTCAATAAAACTTTATTTGCAAAAACAAGTGGCTGGTCATGGGCCATATTTGCCAAACACTGCTATAGAGACATCCTGAGATCTTGATGTCACTCTCAGTATTTGTGGTAGACAGAACAACGGCCTCTCAAAGATGTCTCGGTGCTAACCTTCACAACCTGTGAATATATTATCTCACATGGCAAAGGAGAATTAAGGTAGCAGATGAGAATAAGGTTGCTTATGAGCTAACTTTAAAATAAGACGACTGCTTCGGATTATCTCCATAGACCCAGTGTATAAAGGTCTTTGTGGAAGAGGGAAGCAGATGTGTCCGTGTCAGAGTGATGGAACGTGAGAAAGATTCAACCAGCCATTGCTGGCTTTGAATATGGAATAGGGCCAAGAGCCGAGGAATGCAGGCAGCCTCTAGAAGCTGGAAAAGGCAAGAAAATGGATTTTCCTCTAGAATCTCCAGAAAGGAATGGCCTTGCCAAAACCTTGATTTGTGTTGTTTTGAGCCACAAAGTTTGTGCAATCTGTTACAACAGCAATAGAAAACTAATACGATACCCACGTGAGCTGAAACTTCTAAACATTGTGGAGAAAGCTGAGCCTCCAGAGTTAAGAACGCAGGTTTAACATCCATTTAAATGCTTCATTTAGATGAAAAGGGTAGGTTAAAAAATTCTGCATTTGGATGTGGGGAAATTAGGCAATGCTTTCAGGGAGCTGCTATAATAAGGAGCTGCTTTCACACTGAAAAGGCTTTATGGCTCCCTGATGGGGTATAAGAGGCATTGAAACAAAATTTCTCTTTATTTGTGTTTCTCCAGGGGCTCTCAGACCTACACACTTGGGGATTTATACCTAAGGAGAGAGATGGTCCGGGCGTGGGGGTGAAGATGAAAGTCCCAGAGTAGGTCCCCGTATGCGCGCTCAGAGTGGGGAAGTGGGCTGCCAGGAATCAGCCCCTGACTTTCTCTTCCGCTGGCATCAGGCCACCTTCTGCCCGACTGCTGTGCCACGGTACCACTTACGTCATGGGGAATACAGCTTGCTGCTTTAAAATGTGTGTTATGAGGGAAATGAGAACACGACGCTGGTGACATTTCACAAAGGAGGGAGCATTCCAAAGACAAGCTCGGGCAAGCCTGGCATGCATGTGCTGTTAGGGGCCACTTCAGAAACCACGGCCGCTGGGCACTCACTGAGGTAGGTCGATCGAGGTCCAGGGCCCCTGCCCAAAAGATCTCTCCGACTACCTGTCATGGTGGGGGGCGGAAGCCATGGGTCCTGACCTCCCTTCCATGCTGTAAACATCTTGAAGGCGGAGACCTCCTCACAGCAGCTGACACAGTGCCTTCTACTCCACAGACAGGCATCACCACAGACAGGTGGCTAACTAATTATTAAGCAAAATCAACAAGACAGAGAAGGCGGATCTTGTCATAATGATGATGACACTCAACAAATTCAGAAAGGCCATTTTAATTTACAAAACATTCTCACATACATGGTCTCAAATTATCCTCCGAAGGATGCTGTGAAGTGAGTATTTGGAATCCCGTTTTGCTGATAAAGAGAATGAGTTTCACACACATTGAGCGACTAGTTTAACACTCCACAGCTAGCAACTGGGAAGTGGGGCCTGAAGCCAGGTCTTTGGTTTCTTGGGTTGGAGCTCAGCCGTATCACACAAGGGTTCCTCCCTCCCTCCTTCCTTCCCTTCTCTTTCTTCCTCCCTCCTGGAAACATTGAGTATCTATTACGTACCAGACGACACCGCCCCAGGCCCCACAGAAACAAAACTAACCAAGACGAGGTTCTGCACCTGAAGAAGATTGTATTTAGTGGGGGAGGCAGACACATCAATGTGCAAATGGAGATGCAATCTAAGGCCCTGACTGTGTGTGCCAGGCACCATTCTAAGGACTTCACATGCTACCATTGTTGAACACCTTAGGAGGTACGTACCACCTTTCCTGTTTTACGGATAAGGAAACGTAGGTTTAGAGTCACTGGGTATCTTGTTAGTTGCAGCCAGGATCTTCATTCCCTGCTGATTCCAGATCTCACTCTTAGCCTCTCTTCTGTGCTATGTCAACAGAAGCCCTGGTACAGCACTCTGCACTGGGGCAGTGAGAGAGCCAGGGAAAGAAGGATTGGCTGCCTGGCAGAATTAGAGGACGCTTTCTGTCGGAAGTGTGCATTCACAAACACCGAAGCACAGAGAAATGAACCAGGTCATTTAAAGATGATCTAGTCTAAGCTGATCCTCAATTCCAAAAACTGAGTAAGAGAATTAAGTATCCTAGAAACATGATTCCATTTAAAGATATTTTTCAGGGTAACTATTAGGTGCAAAGCATTGCCCAGGGGATTCCGTGCAGATTCAAGTTCATTCAAACATTAACTCTTAAGGAGATAATCCTGCATTTGCACTGAGACAGTGAGGGTGAAACCACCTCCCAAGGGCAAGTGTTCTGAACTGAGAGTGGAAGATTTGGGTTCTCGTTCCAGGTCTATCGTCAGTTCACCCTAGACAAGCCCCTCAGCCTCTCTGAGCTCCATTTCTTCAGCTGTGAAAAGCAAGTGTTGGAAGAGATGATGTCTTGGGGTCTCTTTTAGCTCTGATGTTCTATTATTCTAAGACTCATCAAGGAAGTACAGGGAAAGGGCTTACGTGGGAGAGTTGGGTGGGAAGGGAGAGAATAGTTCACCTCTTCAGAAGCCCTCTTACCTGAGATGCCTTTGGCACCTGAATCTTGCACGTGCCCAGCAGCCACCTGACTCGAGCTGCCAGAGTCCCAGGCCTGCTCACTCTGTTCAGCCTGGTAAGGGTTCCCCTAAACAATGAAACCATAAAACAGGTACCCAAGAGGTCCCGGTTTGTCAGATGCCTTGCACGTCAGCAGCACTAAGTGGCTGCTGGAGGCATTGATACTATTAACGATTGTTGTTGTTATTAGAGAATTCCAGTAACAAACACCATTCATGGGGAGTCTTCTATGCACAAGGTGCCACGAGGAGCGCTTTCTTAAAATTATCTATTTCTCTTGGCAAATGTACTGAGTGTTCTTATCTCTACTCTACAGATGAATCTGTGGCTCAAGAAGGTTAAATACCTTGCCTGAAGCCATACAGTCCTAGTATGTTCTACCTTCACTGTCTGACTTCAAAGGCACAGCTCTTCATCCTCCTGCTACACTTTGTACACCTGTGAGGCTTCCAATCTGGGTAGTCTTCCTTCACTTTCACCTGCAATGAGCAACTGAAAAGGACATACACCCACTAAGCATCATATCATACTCACAATTTGCAAAGTGCTTTCTCCTGTATCCCATCATCTCATTCTCATAGATGCTGGAGAGCTAGAAGGAGCATTATCTCTATTTTATAGAAGAAGAAACTGACTCTCAAGGGAGGTTGAGTAATTTGGAGGTGTCTTAAACCCACTTGCCATACCAATCACATACTTGTCTACATTTCTGACCACTCTGCTACATCATTTTTCAGAACATTATGTCTTGTGTCTTAAAGTGTATCCAGTTATTTATATTTGCATTACAGAGTGGTTAACAGAGGGCCTTCCCGGAGAGATATTACCAAATGGCAGTTAGTATTTCCTTAAATCTTCTTCCAGGACTAAGTGTATATCATTTCCAAATAACTAAGAATAGTTCAATGAATCCTAAAGTTTCAAACCCTCATAATGATGTAATTTTCTTCTTTCAAAATACCGGTACATTCATCAAACCTCACTCTCTTTACTGAGTTGACAGGGTATACGTGAGCTACATAGAACATTTGAAACTTCGAAAATATCAACACCAAATTGAATTTCTTCTGCTTTAGATTCAGATTTGATTCTAGCTCAGCTCCAAGTAACTGGATGATATTAGACACAAATCGCCCTGGGTCACTTTTTCCTATGAGTAAAATGTAGACTTGTCAGATTTCGTAAGAAACAAACAAAGAATCCAGTTAAATTTAGATTTCAGATGAATAATATATATATTTTTAGTTCGTATTTATAATTAGTCCTTGTACTAAAGGAGTTGTTGTTTATCTGAAATTCACATTTAAAGGAGCATCCCATATTTTATCTGGCAATTCTAAAAGAGAGAACTGTTCTTAATCATCTCCTAGGTTTTCTACTACAACATGCTATGTTCAATGGCATTTTCTGAGAAAAAAAAAAGATAAATGTGCTATTCCCTTGGCTCATAATTATTTTCCCCTGGATCTCTGCACTCAGATTTTAGCTCAATGATAGATTCCTTAAGCCCTTCCTGACTCTCCTAAATAAAGTAGCACCTTTTTATCCTTCCATCTGCCCTTTCCAGTCACTCCTTATCCCATTAGCTTGTTTTGTTATCATTATCTGAAATGATCTTCTTCACTCTTGTGGGCACATGTTTATTGTCTGTCCCTCTTGTCACTAGAATGTAACCTGCAGAGGGAAGGCTCTTTACTGTCCTGTTCATTGCCATATCCCCAGCACCTAGAGCAATGCCGGGGCACATGAAACACTTAAATAGCCAAAAAATATCGTAGGTGCTAAAAATGAGTTTTTTGACCAATGAGGGGTTAAGGGAGTCTAAAGAAAGAGAGTGGAGTATGGGAAGGCTTCTTGGAGGAAGTGGGATTTTAGTAGTGCTATAAAGCAGTGGTTTGGGGGGGGGGGAGAGTGGGAGTTGCCTGAATAAGCTTAGCAACATTTTCAAGCTATACCTGTCCCCACCCCCACCTCCCACCCCCCATTATCAGAATTTAGGGTGAAAGATGAGCACTGTTAATGTCAAAGGCTTCCCAGATGACTCTGATATGACCCTTCTATCCCCAGTTGGGAATATCTACCATAAAGAATGTGTGGAATTTGGTTAAGCAGAAAGCATTAGGAATGGTGTCATTGGTACGGAACAATGTGAGTTGAGCACAGAGAAGAAAAAGTATCAGGGGTGGGGGCGGGGGGGCGCGGGTATGAAAGCACTGCCCAGATCAGAGCAGAATTGAGGAGTTTGTGCTTCAGTCTGTAGGCAACAGAGAACAAAGTCGGGATTTTTCAGAAGGAAATGAAATTGTAAAAATGAGTCTGAGTAGCTATAATTTCCACCTGGGTCAGGAAACTATGGTGTACCAAACTCAACCCGCTGCCTATTTTTGTAAATAATGTTTTACGGAATGCAGCCATGCCCATCTGTTCACTATTGCCTGTGAGTCCAGCACAGTGCCCGTAATGCTCATCCCTTGTCAAGCTCTGTATGCCCTTTAAGATTCTTCCACTGCAGAAATGGCCTCACTGCCAAGGTTTGACTAATTCATGTTTTCTGATGATTAGATTAATACATTCATCAATTCCTAAATACTTCAAAGGATTTTGTATATGTAAGTACTAGGTTAAGTGCTGGATTTCAGAGTTAGACGATTTGTGAGTCCTAAGCCTTGCTCTTCATCTACCACATTTATCATATTCTATCTATATGTGGCTCCTATAACATACATCAGTGGAACTGCAGGGTCTTTGAACCTGGCACAGACTAGGAAGATATAGTTACAAATAACCACATAGCAAGTTCAAGTCTCTTTCTGGAAACTGGTATCTGACAGAGGATTGGCAGGAAGCTTGGTTCCTGGCAATAGCACGAGACACAGAAGCAGTCTGGGTGTCATGGCTAAGTTTCCCAGTAAATCCAAAAATATCTGCTCTTACCTCTTTCCCCATATAGCTACACAAACACTAACCTCCATCCTTATCACACTTCTCGTCCTCTTTCAACTCTAAGTCTTCTGGGAATGACCTAACATTTTAGGCAAATGGCTGGTTCATTTCCTAAGTACCTCCCTCTGGAAACAGTACTGTCCTAGATGGTTTTAAAAGAGCTTTCAATCTCCTCTGACTAGTGCTGACGGTAATGTGGGAGCAAAATTCCCTTTAAGCTACAGTAGATCATGCAGCATCTATTCAAGAAATATTTATCCAGTTTATCGTGCTAGGGGTTGGGGTTACAGTGATGAAGAAATAACCACTAGTGAATGACTTAGGAATAATTAATCTTAGCGCCTAGGTAGAGTTTATGTTTCAATATAGGCAATTTAATTACAATGGTAAGGATAGAACGGTGATAATCACTGGGAGTCAAGAGAACCTATAGGACGGTCACCTAACAAAGTCTTGGGGACTTCTTGAAGGATGTTGCGTCTGAGTGATAAAATGAAGGAATTACTAGATGAAGAGGAGGCTGGGGGAGGGGAGCCGAAGGCAAAGTTCTAAAGGCCCAGAAGGAGAATGATATCAGAGTCCTGTGTTAACAGTATGCTGTAATCAGTTGCCAATTATCTGAGTATAGCTAAAATGCTTTATGGTCGGTTCTAATCACTCTCTGGTGTATTGCAAAAGGAAGCAAGGGCTTGGCTTTTATTCTACTTTTTATATTACCACTAGATTTTGTGTGTGTGTGTGTGAATTCTGGCCATTATTTCACCTTTTAGCATATCAATTTTCTGATTTGTCAAATGGGGCTAAAAATACCACTTGCCCTCTCAGGACTTTGCAGGGATCCAATGGCACAATGTGTGGGAAAGTGCTCTGCAATCTCTAAAATGCAAGGGATTATTATTCTAATTCCTGCCACCACCCAGGCCACTCCCTGTTTCCACCTTCCACTGCCCATCCAGATTTGCTCAGCAAATGCAAGCTCATTTCAATGTCATCTGCTTACAATAAATCAAATAAGGTGATCAAGAGCCAAAAAACAGTTTTTAGATTCTCCCACACTACACAACATGAGAGCCCATATTGCGGTCACAGATAACAGTAGTATGACCATCAGGGAAACTTAGCAGACTGAGCAATCTATAATTCTTTTTGTTCTTCTTGCTCATTTGACAAACATGGAAACTGGTGCAGGGGAAGGTCTCACGAATGGCACCCAGCTAGGGAGTGGTGCTAAACAGGGTCAGGTTCGTTTCTATCACCTCCTTTCTCCAAAGCTCCTGGGTCCTTTCTTTTCTGGTCCTTCTCAAATCCTCTAGAAACCAGTATAGACACAATGCAGTACGATCTGCAAGCAGGGTAGTTTTCCCCATTTTCACCCGGTGAAGCTGTGTTCTAATCCCTCTCTGCTTCTAGGCTTACTGTAACTGACTAGTGCAAGCCTCAACGGCTTAGGAGGCTAGTGGCCACCTTCCAGAAAAGTTGATTAGCTGGATGAACAGCAAGTTCCAAGCTTCAGCAGGAGGTTTCTCTAGTGTAAAAGTCTAGTGAACATGTTACTTGTATTTCTCCCATCGCAAAGTCATTCCTTAGGAGAAGTTCAGCAGCAATCCCTGCAAGGAAAAGGTGCTTGTGACTCACATGGATGGAAAAACCAAACTTGTCATTTGGGAAAGGAACTCGATTATGCCCAGTGGAAGGAAGAATTACAGAAGAGATTCGTGACCTAGTTTCAGGTAGTATTTAAAATGAACTTTAACATTTTTATTTCATACTTGTATCATGAGGTCACACGAGTTTGCCAAAATTTCTCTAATCTCTGCTTTGTTTTTAAAAAATAAGGGGCAGGCAATCTGGTATAGATAAAAACACCACCAAACAAAACAAGCAAGACAAAAACCAAAAAGAGCACTGTCCTCTTGCAAGAAGAATGGGGATCCAGTCCCAGTTTTATTAGTCACTAGTGTTGAGGGTCTTGGCACGTCACTAAACCTCTCTGGGACTCAGCTTCCTTCTCTGTGACATAGAGATAACATTATGAGTTCGTTTACCTCAGGATCAACTGGAGCAAAGAATGACAGCCCCAAGAAGAATGTGAAAGTGGCTTGAGGATCATGATTTCTGACTCAGTCTCCCATAGCCCAAAGGTCTTATGGGGCTGGGAATGCAGCAAGCCCTCAGGAAATACTTGCCAGTCAAATGGAGAAGTTCTACGATGGGTTCTTAAAATAAAGGGAAGAGAGTGTTCTGAAATTCTGAAAAATTACCAACTGACAAAATTCTGCTTATTCAATCAACATTGGTAGACTGATGAGTGTTGCAGCTGTGTGAGGTCAAGAATAGACTCATAGTTTCTACTGTGGTCCACTCATGAGCAAACACTTTTCTTCTGTTTCAGAGAATCACAGTCAATGCACACATATGCACACATATACACTCAAGCATGTGTGTCCATACTGACTCTCTTTTACTAGGGAGAAATGGAGCCTATTGGTAGTATTACTAGTTTGACCTTTGGAGTTCACCCACCTAAATACTATTTATCAGTAATGCCATGTTTGGTTGAGGCACCCCTGTCAGAAAGTTAGAAGACCAAAGAATAGGCCATTTATGAAGAATATATTTGGATACTAGAAATGGAGCTGTACATGACCAACTGTGATTGTCCAATCCATCCAAGGTAGAGAGATTGTCCTGGCACTGAGTTGCTTTCCGAATAGAACTCAGACCTTCTGGGAAATCAAAAACACAAAGCAGGGTAAAGGCCTTGAGTGCAGGGTCCGGGTCATAATTCACCTTTGAAGTCACAGCTACTCACAAGCTGTAGGCATCCAATAAATGTTTGATTGAATGTATTAATAAGTGAGTGACTGGGCAATGGAAGGAGTTCTGGACTCAGATCAGGGGATGTGGATTCCAGCCCACACTCTATCATCAGCACTGGGAGCATAAGGAAGTCATTCTAAATCTGCCCCTCACCTGTGAAATGAGAGGGTGGAATAAATAAGCAGCTCACAATCAATAAAGTACAGTGAATTAGCAGATCTCTTAGCTGGGAGATGGTGCTACAGTCTCCTCTCCATCATACTGTAGTTTTCAGGCTGCCTTGGGGGCAAGGAGAAGTGATGTCCCAGGTTGCAGCCAGCAATGCAATCTGAGTGCTGACCAGGCTCCCAGAACTACATTGATAATATTCCCTTCTATAGTCAGTATCTCAGGAAGTCTCACGATGAGGGAAACTAAAATCACCAGAAAATAAATTTATTCAAGAAAAATATTGGCTTCGACCAGCCACTCTGCTAATTGCAGGATAAGTCTGTCAACTCTGAGAATGAAACAGGACCCTTGAAAGTCTTCTCATGTGGAGACAGAACCAAGAACCCTACAGAGAAACAACCCGCCGGATGCCTGAGTTTGTGCAATAGAGCAAATGGCCCCAAGATGCATTTAGTTGGATTTTAATATTCATGCCTTTATCAGTTTATATCATAGTATATTATTTTCCTTGTAATATTTTCATTCTGCAATCAAATTTATTATTATTAAAAAGTACTATAGGAATGGCTACCAGGAACACAGTGCTTTCTACTTCACTAAATGTTTGCAGATCCGTATAAAAGACATTTCAGGCCATAGCAATGCCCTCTGAGGAACCATTCAGGGTAGAAGATGGAGAAGATGATGTCTCAATTCTACTGTGTGGAACCTTTCCTCAGTTTGTCTGGGAATGCTTGTAAGGTGGAAATCTAGATGATGTCATGTGCAACATTCACCTGAATGGCCACATAGAGGTTGAACTGGAGTATTCTGAGACTGTGTGGTCAATGGAGAGAGCATGAGTTTTGAAGGCATGGGTTCAAATCTGAACTCTGACTCCTAGAGTTGAGTGACTTTGGACAGGTGACTAAAAAAATTTTTTTGGGGCGCCTGGGTGGCTCAGTTGGTTAAGCGACTGCCTTCGACTCAGGTCATGATCCTGGAGTCCCGGGATCGAGTCCCACATCAGGCTCCCTGCTCAGCAGGGGGTCTGCTTCTCCCTCTGCCCTCTTCCCTCTTGTGCTCTCTGTCTCTCGTTCTCTCTCTCTCAAATAAATAAATAAAATCTTTAAAAAAAAATTTTTTTTTATGGGCAGTAGTTTACTTATCTTTAAAACGTATGCAATAATCTTCCCCATAGTTTCAGTGTGGATGTAAAAGACTGGGAAGCACCTAGCACATAGTAGGTGTTCTATAAATGTTAACCCTCTTTTTTTCTCCCGAAAGCTCTGCCTTTCTGTGGTCTCCTCTGTTCCTCATCACCAAATCCACTAAGTGAGACCTATTGGCTAGTCAGGCAAGCTTCTCCTTCTTTCAATTCCACTTACCAAAATGTATTCTCTTTCCCCCAAAATATATTCGTCCTCCTATTTCTAAAATTTTAATGAAGCCCCACCAGCCTGGTATTACTATAGTGACTTAGGGGTAATCATAAGTTTGAGAACAAAAGTCAATGTGAGAATGAAAGTGTTTTAATATATCATTCTGTTGATGAATTTAGTAAGATATTAAATTAGCATAGTATCACAGGATGTACTATTCTTTTTAATACATGCCCTCTTAGTATATCTGAGGAATTTATGATAAGGCATACACTTTGAAATGATACCTAAAATTCATTCACAAATGAGTAAAACAGATTTTGGCAGACTTTTACATACAATAGAGTAGGGAATAATAGGACAACCCTGTTCTTACCATGTGAACTATATGGCAAGCAACCACAGTGGCTAACAATCTGGATCATTTAACACTACTAACTAAGAGATTCTGTGGCAAATATTATAATCAAGTGGATTTTGAATAGATGCACGAAGAAGTGAAGGCTAGGTGAGTATATGCTTATGAGAATTCTTTTCATTTGGATGGACTATAAAAATGAAGCAATGACATCATTTATTTGTCTTGGTTTGTGGAAGAGTTTGAAAATTGCTTTTTAAAATTTGTTTCTTTTTTTTGCTTCCTAGTAGAAATGAGAGATGTCTGTAAGCTGATGACATTCGGAAAACCTTAAAACAATACCTTTTTTATGTGGCACAAGAAGTGACTTATAAAAGTACTGAAAATGGGAAAAGCCTAAGATGAGACCTTGGAATACAAACATCCATTCATGAAATGGGAAACAGTGAAGGACATTAGGTAATAATGGATTTTCCATCCTTATGGATCTCACACAAAACCTCTGTAGAGGAAGGGAGGGAAACAAGTCTAGGAACACTGAGAAATACAGTCATTTTCCCCAAGACCCTGAATCAGAATCTGCATGAGTCTAACATGTAGTGAATGGCTCACGGATATATAACTAGAAGAGAGAGACAAGGAAAGAAGCAAGAATCAAACACCCGTACATGAAAACTCAAAAAAAGAACTGAGAAAACCCCACAAGATCAACTCTGAAATGGCTAAACTTAATTCTAGCCTAACGGCATGAAATACAGCATTCTCTAGGAAGACCAATGTTTCTACATGCATCTTGAGTCAGGGTCTTGGAAGTATCACCTCATGGGTAGGAGCCTAACTTCTGATTAAAGGACTTATAAGAAATTATTATGCACATCATGTGTATTCTAAGGAATCATGTACAAAACTTGATAAGAAATTCACATGAATCAGAGCTGCTATAAAGTGTTGAGAGCCTATTATGAGCAAAATAGTCATTGATACAAGTATGTGCCAGGGACTCTTCTAAATCCATGACAATGAACCAAAGTGACAAATATTCCTACCTTCATGGAGCTTACATCCCATTATTTAACATCTGCACAATTCTAACAACAGCCATAGATGTTATTATTCTTATTTTGCAGGTGAGGAAACTGAGATTTTAAAAAAGTGAGTAACTTACCTACAGTGACAGAGCTAGTAACTCATGTGCCAGAATTCAAATCCAGCTCTGTGCAGCTTCAAAGTCTCAATTTTTACCTGCTTTGCTACGCTATCTTCTATAAGCAACAGAAAATGGGTTCTAATGAGCATTAACACATCTACCACAACTCAGATGAGTATTCTCGATTAAAAAAAAAATACTTTCCTATTTGCAGTAAACAAACTACAACTTATAAGGAGGCGGATACTCAGTACCAAGTGCCTACCAGTAGGCAGGATCTCATTCAACCAAAATGTATTAATCGGGTACAGTGTCAAACCTTAGACCACTTCTTAGGGATATAAATTAGACAAGTCTAGGGGGGAAGAAGAACATATAAATGGATCATCATAAGGCTGAAATAAGATAAGCCCAGGATGCTCAGGAGAGTACAGAAAACAGATCAATATAGACTGAAAGGAAGGAATGTTGACCTCTGCGTTGAGTTTTAGCCAGCAGGGGTGAGCTTGATGAAGAAAGGGGAGGTGGAGTGAGAAAATGGTAAAGTGCTTTGAGTAGAGAGGCAGAATGATATGTGCAGGGATGTGAAAGACAGCATGGTGCTTGAGAAAATGCAAACATTTCAGCATGAGGGTGAATTGTGAGAGAGACGCTCCTGAAAACTGGCTGTAGTGTATTTTAGCAATGTGTGTGTTTAGAGAAGGTTGCACACAGGATGGAAATTGGGGGGCACATCTAGAAATCTAATAGTGAGTTACAGAATCTATTTCATGGATCTTGGCCAGTATTTAGTTAAAACAACAAAAGAATAAAATAGAATAAAAAATATCAAGTATACCATATGTAGTAAGGTATTGTTTCATAAAACACACACGTATGTTAGGACTGAGTCTTGATGTTTAATGTATGTCTTACTATGACTCATGATCCAAAAAGTTTGGAAAGCACTGATCTATCTGTACCTTCCAACAGGCAGATTGTTCCCTTTGGACTTACTCAACAGGGCTCCCTTGGGGGGACCTCCTATCTATTTATTCCTGTCAGGAGAAAAGAGAGGTTGCTTGGAACAAACATGTCCCAGTTTCTTAAAGATTTTCCATATTCCAAAGTCCATGATCTAATTCTAAATCTCAAGTGGCTATACAGATAAACTACAATGACCAGGGCTATTTCTGAAAAGCTATTAATATTTCCATTTTGCAGAAGTGAGACAAAATAGGCACACAAAATAAAGCTTCAAATGACTCTAAGAAAGTCTGGGGCCCGTAAAAAGTTCTCTGTCCCAGCTATGTTTTCCACCAAATGAATCATCCAGGTACAGAGTCAATGCATATGAGTCATGAAACACACCCTATGTCGTATCTCTCTCTTCTTTTCCTTTACACAGGGATTTTCCCTAAAAATTACTTTTGGATTTTATTCCTCACTTTTTTTTTCCTAAGTCCAGTCAATTTCTCCCAGTCAATTTCTTGCCAGTTTCTCTGCTTTTTTATGTTTTCCTTGATGGTGTTTAATCTTGTTTCTCTTCTCTTTTGTCTGATCATTCTGAATTCATAAAAAAGTTCATATACAAAGAAAATCCATATAAAACATGGCTTTAAAAGGAAAGAACTTAAAATATTGCTGTTTCCTTTAAATTTATTACTTAACTGATTGCAAAGCACAAGAGTCAAAGAGAAAGTTAACAGAAGTAGTTTAATAAATACCTCTTAACTAAATTATCTGGCTAATTTAGGCCATTAAGATACTGGAGTTGATAAAAACAAGTCAAAAATTGACTTTGGGCCTAAATTAATTAGACTTGGTCAATATCAGTAGAATTAATCACACATTTGTCTACGAATCAACAATCAGAAGTCAAAGTTGGAAATGACAGATCACCTCTCAAGCCCTAATTATTTACACTTCTCGAAGACTATATCTCTCTTCTCTGAGCTATAAAAGCATCAGTTCTTATTGGGAGGAGCTTTTGTAGAATCATAGACTTCTTGAACTTGAAAACAACCTTAGAGATTATCTGGTCCAGAGTTTCTCAATCAATTTTATGAGGTTGAGAACATAAAAAATTATCACATGCTTGGTCCTCATGCAGATTCAAATGGCCCTTTGGTTGGGAGTCTATGCTTTTTATATCTCTACCTGCTAAGAAGTGTTTGTCAATCTCTTATTTCCTGTGGTTCCTGAAAATATTTTTCTTATATTTTTTAAATGAAAATGTAATGTTGAATTTGCTTTATTAAACTATGTATAAAACTCGGGACTTACTGATGCAGTCCAACTCTCCATTTTAGAGACCAGGAGAAGGAATCCCAAAGATGGTAAATAATTTTACCCCAGGCTCTGTTCTCCATAGACCTGGTACAGTATGTACAAAGCACATAGCAAGGTCTGATAAATAATCTATTCAACCATTTTTAAAATGGCCATACAGGCAAAGAGTGAGCAAGGAAGTGAATGAAAATATTTTTCATATTGAAAAATATGAAATAATTCATATGTGAAATAATTCATAGTGAAATAATTCACTGCGTTACAATCTCGTGGCTAACGTTTCCTGGGGAGTGTGATTTTCCAAGGGACTGCAGAATTTGTCCTTAATTTCGGTTACATTTTAGTCACTCTGCCGAGAGCCCCATAGCAAATAGCTGCTGCACGTGAGGGGACACTTGTCTAAGCAAGTGGTGTGAAAACAAATGTTGCTTTGTTTAGAGCAACTCAGTGTCTTCTCTTCCTCCCTGCTGAAACTCAAGGACCTTGGAAAAGGTCATTTTATGAAGTTCTGGTGTGTATATGGGTAAACTTGAATCATCATATGTCATAATCAGAACCACGAAGCCAAATGCCATGAACCAGATTACCATGTCATCCCCAAATAGGTTATTATGGCAGGCTGCTGGGTCACCAGGATACTCTGGCTGGCCTTGTTTTTCATCTTACTCCCGGGGAGCTCTGGACCATTGCTAACATCATAGCTAAAGTCATTGGAAAAATATCTTAAATTCATTAGAAAGGACAAAAGGACAAAAGAAATACTTATTTCACTTTTTAAATTACATAGAATTAAAGTATCTGAGACAGTCTCAGGCACAGATCACCTCTAAGAAAGTAGAAGGAAGGGGGATGTAGAATTGATTAGCTGAGTAATTTAGGCACTTAATAAGGAGAGAAGAGTCTATTTTATATAGGACAGATATTTGAATTATAAATGTTCACTGATTACAGGGATCAAAATTATGGGATACTTGTTAAGTTTCCAGCTCATTCCATTTACTAACCATAGCTACTATTTAATGAGTATCCGAATCCTGGCAGGCATTTGGTGCTTTCTGTGCATTTTTCTGTCATTCCTGCAATAACCATGCAAGACCATTCACTTCATCTTTCAAACTGGTAAGTAGTAAAGCTATGATTTGTATCCATGGTTATCTGCCTCCAGATGATGACTTGGCTTTCAAAGACTCTAGTATCCCTCCAAATCCTCATTTTGCCTTTTAGTAGCTATGTGACGTTGGGCTGGTTACTTAATCTCTTTCCATCTCATTTTCTTTATCTTCAAAATAGGGTTAATGATAGTGTCTGCCTAAGAATTCGTTATAAGTGAAATAGGCACATGAAGCACTTAGTTGGCATAGATTAGGCATTTAACTAGCTTCGGGCTTTTGTCATTATTGTAATGATAGCTTACTATCAGTAGATCCACAAATAACCTGGACAGTTGAGATGCCCAGATACTGAGACTAAACTTTTCTTACTGACCTCAATTATCTGGGAATTTGTGGTAAAGATCAAATCTCAAATCATAATTACATGGTGGGAAAAGATCAGGTCATCGCCAGTGCTTAGGGTCCAAGGAGCTCAGCTTCTGCTGTGTCACATGTGTCAACACGTTTGACTTCAGGGAAAATTGTCTTAGCGTAGGTCAGCGGGCTTGCAAAAACCAACAACCATAAACTCTTTAACAGGCTGGTTGCTCTGAAAAGAGGAAATCTGAATAAAATCCGTAAGTTCTGTAGTCACTCCCAGTGAATTAGTCCTTTATTTTGAGAACATGGGGGAGTAGAAACCAGTCTCAATCTAGTTGAAAACAAAGCTTGTGTGTTTTGTAAGTAAAATTTATAGAACGGTAGCAACATATGATAACATACTGATATGCGAAATAGTTTGATCTGGCATGGACGCTCACTGATTTGTTACTGTAATGTACTTGTTAAAAGAGCCTGGATTCTGGAGTTAGACTTCTGGAATCAACTCTTGGCTTCTCCACTTTTTAACTTCCCAGTCTTAGAAAAATTATTTAATCTCCTTAAAGTTCAGTTTTCTTATGTGTAACAAAAACCTTATAAGAATATCAACCTCACTGTGTTGTTTTAAGGATTAAGGGAGATATTGCATAAAAAGGCACTTAGCCCAGAGCCTGATCAAAGAATAAGAGCTTAATAAAATGTTACCTATTGCTACTTGTTGTCAGTCTAAAGCTTTGTGTGTCAAGTAAAAGTTTTGAACCCCTTGTCCATTCATGAGATCTTGGCAATGGGAAAAGCTAATGGTGATTTCTTGGACAGAGGAGATGTCTTTGACAGAAATCTGGCAAGCTGTGAGGTACAGCAGGACAGAGAATTGAGTCTGGACCTCTCATATGTATAAAGCTCAAATGTGGCCAGTCAATTTCTATCATTATCCTGATGGGCTACTGTAGTTCATTCTATTTATCATTCTTTTGTGGAGGCCATGGTTTCTCCCTCTGAGCTGGGGCTTAGGGGATAGCAGGGTAGGAGGAGGACTCCTTGTGGCCATGCCTCCAAAGAAGCTGCAGAAATATTTATCAAGGGCTAGGATGCTAGTAGGGGATACTATTATATTTTATTACTCCTGGCATTGGAAATTACTCCTGCTTCCAAGTTAAGTATCAAGGCAGGCTACTAAAGTACGATTGCTGAATGCTGTAGAAAACCCATTTGGATTTTGTGTTAGATTCACTTTTTATTCATGATTTCAAATCTCAAATAAAGTCTCAATACTGCCTGGAAGTCCCACTGAGAACTTTCTGTGAGACTACGTTCTATCTTCTCCCTTTTCAAATATCCCATCTGCCTCCCCCTCCACAATTTAAATCATCAGATGAGAAAGAACTCTCTCAGTTTTGATTATGTGTACAAACCCATCTCATCAGATTGTTATAAGGATTAAATGAGTTAATAAATGAAAACTACTTACAGCATTACTTGCCACATAGTAAGCTCTCAGTAAATATTACCTATGATGATGATTATTATTACCTGTGCCTAAATCCATTTCCTTCTTCTTCCCTCTTTCACCTGAAAGGGTGTCCCTGCCCCTGACAAATGCCAAGGCCTCAACCTACTTTCTGGATCCCACTGTCCTTTACTTCCTCTAGGATTGTTCCTTTGATTATTTCCCCTCTCTCTTCATCAGTAACTTCTCCTTCTCTCTGGATTTTTTTCATCAACATAAAAATATGATTTACTATCCTCAAGTGTTCAACCCACTCTGAATCTGGCTTCTATCCTTATAAGTCCTTTAAATCTGCTCTCCTCAAGATCATCAGTGAATTCTGTTGTCAAAACTGGTAGTCACTGTCTATCCTCAACTTACTCTAACACAGCTGATGGCCATTCTTCTCAACCCAGTGCCCTCTCTCAGGTTCCACACTTCAGGGTTTCCTCTTAACTCTCTAATCATTCCATCTCAATCTTTTCCCCAATCCTGTCCTTCTCTACTGAGTATCTAAATGCTGTCACTTTCCATGGACATGGGGCTAGACTTGTATTCTCCCTCTACATTCCCACTCATGCTCATAGGTTTATGTAAAATGTATGTGCTCTCTCTATCCCTATACTCTGAAGAGTTTTAATCAGGAAAGGATGCTGTATTTTGTCAAATGCTTTTTCTACAACAACTGAGAGGACCATATGGTTCTTCTCTCTCCTCTTATTAATGTGTTCTATCACATTGATTGATTTGCGAATGTTGAACCACCCTCGCATCCCAGGGATAAATCCCACTTGGTCGTGATGGATGATCCTTTTAATGTACTGTTGGATCCTATTAGCTAGGATTTTGTTGAGAATTTTGGTGTCCATATTCATCAGGGATATCAGTTTGAAATTCTCCTTTTTGATGGGGTCTTTGCCTGGTTTGGGATCAAGGTAATGCTGGCCTCATAGAATGAGTCTGGAAGCTTTCCTTCTGTTTCTATTTTTTGAAACAGCTTCAGGAGAATAGGTATTATTTCTTCTTTTAATGTTTGGTAGAATTCCCCAAGGAATCCATCAGGCCCAACTCTTGTTTTTTGGGAGTTTTTTGATCACTGCTTCAATCTTGTTACTGGTTATTGGTCTATTCGGGTTGTCTATTTCTTCCTGTTTCAGTCTTGGGAGTTTATATGTTTCTAGGAAGGCATCCATTTCTTCCAGGTTGCTTAATTTATTGGCATATAGTTGTTGATAATAATTTCTAATAATTGTTTCTATTTCCTTGGTGTTAGTGGTGCTCTCCCCTTTCATTCATAATTTTATTACTTTGGGTCCTTTCTCTTTTCTTTTGGATAAGTCTGGCCAGTGGTTTATCGATCTTATTAATTCTTTCAAAGAACCAGCTTCTAGTTTCGTTGATTTGCTCTACTGTATTTCTGGTTTCTAATTCATTGATCTCTGTTCTAATTTTAATTATTTCTCTTCTAATGCGTGACTTAGGCATCATTTGTTGTTTTTTTCTCCAGTTCTTTAAGATGTAAAGATAGTTGGTGAATTCAGGATTTTTCTGTTGTTTTAAGTGAGGCTTGGATGGCTATGTATTTCCCCCTTAGGACCTCCTTTGCAGTATCCCATGGATTTTGGACCAATGTGTTTTCATTCTCATTGGTTTCCATGAATTGTTTAAGTTCTTCTTTGATTTCCTGGTTGACCCAAACATTCTTGAGCAGAGTGGTCTTTAGCTTCCAAGTGTTTGAATTTCTTCCAAATTTTTTCTTGTGATTGAGTTCCAGTTTTAAAGCATTATGGTCTGAGAAAATGTAAGGAATAATCTCAATCTTTTGGTATCGGTTGAGACCTGATTTGTGACCCCGTATGTAGTCTATTATGGAGAAAGTTCCATGTGCACTCGAGAAGAATGAGTATTCTGTTGTTTTAGGGTGGAATGTTCTGTAAATATCTATGAGGTCCATCTGGTCCAGTGTGTCATTCAAAGCTCTTGTTTCTTTGTTATTTTCTGCTTAGATAATCTGTCTACTGCTGAGAGTGGAGTATTGAAGTCTCCTACAATTAACATATTATTATCAATATGACTCTTTATTTTGGTTAACAGTTGGCTGCTCCCATGTTGGGGACATAGATATTTACAATTGTTAGATCTTCTTGTTGGATAGACCCTTTAAGAATGATATAGTGTCCTTCTGTGTCTCTGACTACAGTCTTAAGCTGAAAATCTAATTTGTCTGATATGAGAATTGCTACCGCAGCTTTCTTTTGAGGCCCGTTGGCATGGAAGGTGGATCTCCATCCCTTCACTCTCAGTCCGGATGTATCTTTAGGTTCAAAATTAGTCTCTTGTAGACAGCATATGGATGGGTACTGACTTTTTATCCAATCTGCAACCCTGTGCCATTTTATGGGAGCATTTAGGAGCATTTATGCAAAGTTCTGAGATACACAATGTCTGAATAGACTTGTCCTCAGAGAGTTTACAATTCAGCTGATATGTGGACAGTGTGGGATTTGGATTTAAGGGTTTCTTAAATCTTATCCTTAAATCCAAGACTTATGACCTTTCCATGATCCTATTCTCATAGAATTCGATCAAATTGTTGGGTTCCAAGATGAACCCTCAAAGAACAGGTGGTGGAGTTGGGACAGCTCTGAAAGGCTTCCCTGAGGAGGAGGGCATCACTCATCACTTAGTGTTATTTAAATGCTTAAATGTTTCACAATTAAGTATCATCTCCATCCTCACTCACTGCAATCTCCTTGAGGACTAGGACTCTAACTTAATATTGCTCACAGTGTTTGGGACGGTGCTATACACATAGCATCCAATGAAGGCATCTTGAATGAGTTGTGACTGGTTGGGAACAAAGCTAGCAGTCTTAAGTTTTGCTATGTGTAAGATTTCTTCAAGCTTATTCAAATTCGAACACTTAATTACCATGGCAGACGTACACTAGGTTTTCTTGGCTCTCTGGGGACTGTGACTCAAAGAGTGAATGCCATAAAACCAGGAGGTATTCTGAATTTTCTCCTCACCACAAGGCCTAGGTCCTCTGCACTTCCAGATTCAATATTGTCCTCCCTAGGGAACCTCACAGCCCCATCCGCTGCCACCAAGCCTTCTGGAACGGGGCGTCCTGCCTTTATGACCACAAATTGTCTTGTGTTTATGTTGCCAAAATAGGCAAACTGAATTCCCACATTTTTTTCACTAGTGCAATGGGAAGCACCAGGGCCTTGGTCCCAGGAAATGATGAAAACCCAACCCAGATGTATACAGAGCAAACAGTGCTGTTTGCCACGCTGTCTTGTTTGTTTTGGAGGAAAGTGGATTTATTAATAATAAAGTTTCACCATGTGGCAAGCACATCTGGGTTACAAAGCATCAGTCATAGAAAGTAACTCAGGAAAAACCCCATTAAGTCACCTAGTCCTGCATTTGCCAAGGCTGTAGGCTATGTTTCTGCCTTTTCAGCTTTACCAGCATTTCAGAATAAAAGGTAAGATGTTAAGAGTGATGTCTCACCTGTGGTTCCAAATTACCATTAACGATGGTGCTCACGGTGGGAAAATGGACAAGAAAACACACAAAAAATCTCAACTCCTCCAAGTTTCAATTCATAGCCCCGAGTAGGCTGTTGCCCCAAACTTGACACAGAAAGAACACTGAGGAGGAGACTTCAATTCACAGAAGCACGTGGTCTCCAGTGGAGACTCATGGGCAGAGGAGAAAAAAACCCCTACAGTTATTTATTTAACACTTATTGATTTAACCTTCTGGCTGGGTTGGGTTGTTGGGTTTGGTTTTACATCCAGAATTACAAAATTTATGATGGGAACGTGTGTCAGCTGTTTACTGAAGGAAAGAAAGACTTCTGTTCTTTGTCTTCTCTCATAATAGAGCCAAGCGTCCCACCTGGTTGTTTGGAGAAGTTGAAATATGTGAAGAGTAAGAGCATAACCCTAGCTGGGCTTCCTTTTCTACATCTTCTGTTCTTTCCTCCGGAGAGTAAGCTACCTGGGCATGATTCTCGTGCCTCCTGCCTGGACTGCTGTATAGCTTTTACTCCAACTCAAACCATCTGGCCAACAGCTGCCAAAATCAGCATCAGCTAAGATTTACTGAGAGTCAATCACATGCCTGCTCTGTGCATACTGAGATCAAATATGTATCTTTTGCTTAATTTATTTGCCGCAACCATGTTGTAACATAAGGAAGGGGACAGTATGGACAGTGGCCAAGGGCATGGGCTCAAAATCAGGCAGAAAGAGTTTTCAATCCTAGCTCTACTATTTCCCTCCACTCAGCTTTATTGAGCTATAATTGACATATAACATTGTATAAGTTTAAGGTATACAATGTGATGATTTGATACACGGATATATTATGCAATGATTACCACAGTGAGGTTAGTTAACACATACATCACTCCACTTTTTTTTTTTTTTTTGAGAGCGAGAGAGAGAGGGAGGGAGAGCACACATAGTGGGGAGAGTGGCAGAAGTAGAGGGAGAGAGAGAGAATCCCAAGCAGTCTCCATGCCTAGCACAGAGCCAACAGGTGGCTCAATCTCACAACCCTGAGATCATGATCTGAAACAAAATCAAAAGTCAGATGCTTAACCGACTGAGCCACCCAGGTAGGTGCCCCTCCACTACTTTTTAATGGAGGCTTTGGAAAAGTCAGTATCTTCATCTGTAAAGGGTGAATAAGAACAGAACCTACTTCACAGAGTTGTTTTTGTTTTTAAAATAACTTTATTGAGTCTTATTTTACAAAAATACACCTTACTTTTTCAAGTGTAGAATTCAATAATTTTTAGTAGATTTACTAGGTTGCTAGGTTGTGCAACCATCACCATAAATCAGCTTTAAAACGTTTTTTATCACTCCTCACGCACCTTTATGATTAATCCTGTCTCCTGCTCCTTCCCACATTTGTCTTTATCTCTTTGCTTTTCCTGGATAGGTCATGTAAATGAAACACAATTGATGATATCATACCATATATGGTATCTCATGTCTGGCTTCTTTCACTGAGAAGAGTAGTTTGAAGTTCATCCATATCATATGCAGGATGTCTTCTTAGTTTGTTCCTTTTCACTGCTGAATAGTATTTCATTGTATGAATATAGTTTCTTTCGTCTATCCATTCATCAGGTGATGGACCTAATTAGGTTGTTTCCACTTCTTGGTTATTATAAATAATGTTGCTAAGAAGACTTACATTCAAGACTTTGTGTTGGATTTATGTCTTTAGTTTTCTTGCATAGACACCAAAGAGTGGAAGTGGTAGGCCATATGGTACATTTATGTTTAACATCTTAACTCACAGAATTGTCCAACGCTTAGACATTACATAGAAATGGCCTCACCCAATGCCACCAGGAATAATGATCAATGAAAATTGCTGTTGTGATTGTTGCTGCTACTCTTTTGTGGGACGTTTCTACTTGTTTACTGTGCAGGTGAGGAGGTTAAAATAAAGCTCAGAAAGGTTACCAATTCACTCAAGACCACACAGCTAATCGATGGACAAACTGGAATTCTCTCTGATGTTTTCTGACTCCAAGCCTAGCATCACCTACTACCACCATGGCCAATACCACACTAAGCATCCTGAGGAGCACAGCTCTGCTACTTTAGTCCCCTGCAGAACAAATACCGCGGGCACCTCACTGCATAAGAAATAAAAATCTTGATTTGTGTGCTAGGTATACAAAGCCTCCTATTATTTTCCCACTGATCTTTCCTGCCTGATTTCCTACTGCATACCTCCACCCTATCCTCTCTTCATGAATCCCCCAGGATGACTCTCATTCCAAAAACTCAGCCAACACTCTTTGGGCTACTATACCTTTGTTGGAGCATGATCTGAGTTCTTGAATAGTATTTCTCACTTTTGCCTTATGAACTTTTACCCATCCTTCAAGGCAGAGTTCAAGTCATACCTCCTATACCTTCTTACTTCCTCATCTTAGTGACTCTGGTTAAAATTAACCTGTATTTTCCTAAGGCACTCAGTTATAATAGGTACTCATGAACACACTGACTTGAGCTGAAATGACTGAAAAAAGGGGGGGAAAAAAACCTCAGCTGTGTAACGAATGACCTAGCTATGAGAAGTACTAATTTTTAAGAATTCAACAAAAGTCATTTGTAAAATTCCCAGGTATAGCAACACAGTGTTACTTGTTAGAGAGCACCTAGGGTAGAATCCTGTTCCTCACTACCCACCTTCCTCTGTGTACCTAGAACACCTTATTTGTGCTTTAGGCAAATTCTTATCACACTGTATTGTATATCCATTTATATTTGTCTGCCCCACAAGACTGTGAGCTCCTCCAGAGAAGAAACCGTGTCTTATTCATTTCTGTATACACATTGCCCAGCACAACGCCTGATTCGTGTAATGGTGAGTATTCACTTGATGCTGAATGAATGAATGAGAGGGTTAGTGAATGACAGAATGAGCTGCTCTCTCTGTCTGACACAGATAACCCATTAAAAGTAGGTAGTACTCTCTTGCCTGACATCAGAGTTCTAAAAGAGGTTTTTTTCTTTAAAAAAGATTCTAGGGGCACCTGGGTGGCTCAGTCGGGTTAAGTGTCTGCCTTCAGCTCAGGTCATGATCCCAGGGTCCTGAGATTGAGTCCCGCATTGGGCTCCCTGCTCAGCGGGGAGCCTGCTTCTCCTTCACCCTCTGCCTTCCGCTCTGCCTATTTGTGCTCTCTCAATCAAAAAAAAAGAAAAAAGAAAAAAGAAAGAAAAGATTCTAATCTTCCCATTGGCCTACTGTTAATTCCACTTCCTCCAAATGGCTATCTGAATAAGTCAGTAAGAATATATGTAGAATATTTTCTTCCCAGTTCCTTCCTTTAACTCTTTCTAAACAAGAGCCACAAAAAAAAAAAAAAAGAGCGAGGAATAGCTAAAGAGAAAAATTTTGCAAATTCTGTAAGCTCTAAAACACGGTGACTTTTCTTAAGTAGGTGGTCAGATTCTAACAAGGATCCAGCAGAGGCCTTGCATATAGTACAGGCATTGTAAATAGTTGTTAAATAATTGGATCCAACAAACATTTATTAAGTGCCAATGAACAAGACCCTGTTACAACCTTCTAAGACTCCTGGTGTAAGTGAGTTACCCAACATATATAGTGGTAACAATAATGACAACTATGTATTCATTCAGTCATTGTTCTATGGCTGGCACTATTTCAAGCGTTTTTATATGAAATAACTCATTTAATTTTCATAATAAGTCTAAGAGGAAAGTATTAAAGATGAGAAGATGAGGATGAAGAATCTGAGGTTTACAGAAGGTTTCAGAAGTAATTAGTGTAATAAGTAGTAGAACTGGGACCCAGGCAGTCTGGCTCCAGAAACTCCCCATGAGAATGCTTCTAAGCTTCAGTGAGGGGCCATGTCCCCTCCATTTCTGTTTCCCCAGCACTCATAACCACTCAGTGACCATTTGCCATTAAACTGTGCCAACTGCAAGGCTGACAGGGAGTAGGAAAAGAATACAGATACACTGTGTTACGCAACAATAATATGGCCTAATGTCAGGGTAGGAAAGGGTGGAAGAAGCCCAGGTTTAGGAGCCAGACCAGAGACCTGGGCTTGAACTCCAAATTCACCAGTAACTAGCTTCGGGGTTATTTCTTCTCTGACAAAAAATTATCCACCCCAACACCCACACACTCACCATTTCTGGGCCAAGAGCCATTTTGGAAATTTGAAGGCTCTGTAAGATTGGATTCTACCCGCAAAGACTCAAAACTAATTCAAAATAAAGATGACTAAGTCTGAGGTTAAAAGATTTACCTCAGGTCACACACCTGGTTGGTACTGGTACTAAAATTTAGTTTCCCGAGTTCCAGCTCAGTGCTCTTTCGTTTAAGTCACAGAGTTTCACTTGAGGTAAAGAAGTTGAACAAAACACCATCAGAAGCAAATTATTCAAAACGGGACTTTCCAGAGCCAGTCTGGAATTGGACAGCTGCCTCCTTGTGTTCAAGAGAGGCACACCCCAGTTTCACTACAGATCTGAAATCTAACTCTCTCTCCTTGTGATGTCAGAGGCTGGGGACATCTTCTAAGCAGTGAGTAATGCTCTGGAGATAAGTCTCCCACTGCTCTGCTACGTCCTAAAAATTCTCTCTTGCCTTCTTTCCCTGTTGGGATGTCCTACTCAATACCAAAAATACCTCTCAGTGAAGGGGACTTATTCCCGGAAGAGAGAAAGTCACTATCACCTCCCTGTTGGCTCAGTTCTTTCCCTGAAAGGCTTGCAGCACCTTTTCTTTTAAATTCTCTACAGTTCTAGAATCTGGAGAGAAGAGTAGATTAAATGTGGCACAGGAAAAGGAGGGCACTGTCCAGAGAACACTGAGTGTGGTTGGAGCAGTGGGCGCAAACATGACCTCAAAGGTGTGCATGTACCTTGAATAGAGATGGCTGTGTGGACATCACCTATAGAACTTTATGTGCTTAACAGCACAGAGGACAAGTGCCAAGTATCTTTGGAGCCAAACAAGCCAGGGCTCAGATCTTAGCATTTTCACTCACTAGCTGAGTGTCTATATTAGCAGCTGCCCTCACCGGGGCACAGTTTCATTGGTTAAGAAAAGCGAGATAATAACTTCTTAAAGGGTTGTTGATGAGGACAAGATCTCGTTGTAATTCCTAATAGCAAATCTCATACTTAGCAGGGGTTTAATATTATGCTAACGCTTCTCCCCCATGTTTTATGGTTGAAACAAACGTTTTAGAGTGCATTCTTTGGAAACAAAGAAAACACTTTGGGGCAAGTATAGCACTGAAACTGATTTGTCCAGCCACTGTTCTATCATAGAGGCTCATAATGCAGGGAAAATCTCAGAATTGGCTGAATCTGCCCTTCTTCTGAATAAGAGAATCTCATGTTAAACTTTCTACATCTATCTAGACGTGCTCTTCCAACAGGGCACGCGGAAT